AAATGCTTCTGTTGTTGGTGGGAGGGATTTTAGCTTTGGTGCATTTGTAATGTGTTTTGCAGCATTTTTCTTTGCTCATACAGCATATCTCACATCAGACATTTTGTCTGTGACTTTAGGTGTAATTTCATAACATCTAGAAACAAATTCTGTTGAAGTTTTCTCAACTCCAGTTATGTCTGCATTGACATCTCCCAAGTTAGTGAGTGAGTATCTATTTAACACCTAGGACTGTTAGCTTGCCAATTCCATGCATGCAAGATGTTGTATCACTGCCAGAGAGACCATGCGCAGCTAACAAGTTTGGGATTTTTAATTTGTGTTCATTTACGGTTGCATTTATGTTAATGTTTGCTCGGCCAGGTGATGTTCCCTCCATTATGATGTTATTTTCCATTAACTTGTGCTTGAGACAGTGATGAAGAAGAAGAAGGAAAACATCGGTATCATCACTGAGTACACTGATATTCTGTTGGCCTTCACTGGCAGCATGCAGAACCTGGTGTACGATAACAACATCTGCTTCTTCTTGAGTGCTCCTTAAGTCATTACGTTGGTCAATATTGCCTTTGTGAATTTGTACAGGTGTTGGATCAGGACCTGTGATAACAAGGATGTTGGAGAATGATCCTTCACTAGCTTTTTGAGTGAGATGGTCGATGACACACTTTATCAACTGGACCTTATTCTCAGTCACATTCAGAACAACATTCTGTGCAGGAAGAGGTGTGTCAGAGCTGAACTTATGCACTCTACTGGCTGATTGAGCTCGAGATGACCTGGTGCTGTTCTTTATGCTATTGTCTTTATATCTGTCAAAGATAAGGTATACATCTGATTCGGTTAGGAATCTCAGGATGTACTTAGTGAAAGCAATACAGAAGTTTTCAATTTTGCCAGCCATCGGCCATGTTATGATCCAAAGGATGGCACACCCATCAACGACACGTACATTGCAATTGTTTCCTCTTGAGGTCACCTCAATCTGTAACTTTTGTTTCAGTGTTGATTTTGAAGTTGTGATATTAATTTCTCCATTTTCATCAAATAGTGATAATGGAGGGAACATCATCTGGCAGAGCAAACATTAACATTAATGCAACCGTAAATGAACACAAATTAAAAATCCCAAACTTGTTAGCTGCGCATGGTCTCTCTGGCAGTGATACGACATCTTGCATGCATGGAATTGGCAAGCTAACAGTCCTGAAGGTGTTAAATAGATACTCACTCACTAACTTGGAAGATGTCAATGCAGACATGACTGAAGTTGAGAAAACTTGAACAGAATTTGTATCTAGATGTTATGAAATTATACCTAAAGTCACAGACAAAATGTCTGATGTGAGATATGCTGTATGGGCAAATAAAATGATGCAAAACACATTACAAATGCACCAAAGCTAAAATCCCTCCCACCAACAACAGAAGCATTTTTCCAGCATGTGAAGCGAGCTCATTTCCAAGTAGCTATATGGAAAAATGCTGATATGCCTGACCCCCCACTTATTCTTCCAACAGATTATGGTTGGGAAATTAATAGCACGGGCTCACTTGTCCCAACAACAATGCCCAAGGATACACCCTGTGCCCCTGAAGGAATTCTCAAGCTCATTAAGTGCACATGTGCATCGGAGGGCAAGGTATGTAGAACTGGGCGATGTTCATGCTCGAAGGCATCTTTATCATGTACATTGTTCTGTGTTTGCAAGGGGAATGAATGCAATAACCAACATACAAAGACAGTAACTGAACAGGAATTGGAAGAAACTGATGAAGATTTATTGAGGGAAATCCTTGACAAAATCTTAGTAATAGAAGAGAATTCATAAATTCAAGATATATATAGCATCAAGAAATTACCCTTGTGGAACATCATTATTATTATGTAGGTTACTTTTTACTCATTTCAGATATTTTATATGTGAGAAAGAGATCATAATCAGATGTATTTAGTATTATTTATTGATAATTTTGTAGCAAACACTAATATCCATTTGATATTATCACAGAATGAGACATTTCATAAATTGTAAGGTTGGCGGCCATCTTGAATTTTTTTTTATTTTTGTCAAGAAACATTTCTGGAACCTAACATATTGGTATACATCATATTAAAACTCTATTATAGAAAAAACAGCAAGATATGTTTATGTGTATGCTAGTTTTCTGTTCTAATATGCTGGCTAAAATACATAAAACGTGTGAAAATTCAAAATGGCCACCAAAAAAATTCCTCAAGGATGCCTGATGGTCATCCGACAGTTTCTGAATATGGATATCATGTTTAAACAGAAAATGCAAAAAAAGTTCATATAATAAGCATTTCCACCTCTACTGGCTCTACATCCAGACTATATAATAGTGTACTTCTGGATTGGAAATAAATTCAATGTACGTATACATGAACATGTTAAGACAGGATATGGCAAAAGTAACAGGTTTGGAGGATTGAGGTCCATGGTCCTAAACTGACACGATCAGGAGGGAAGGCAGCGTGGTCCAAGATAACAAAACCTAACTCTTCTATTGATTATGTAGCTGTTGCTAGCTTTTTGATAAGACACATTATCAAGATAGGAATTTCGTTACAAATGTAAGCTTTTCTTTGAAAGCACTGTCTCAAATGACATTTTGCGAGTTAAAACCAGGGGTGAACTTCCCCTTCCATATTTACTTCACAAACACAACACAGTCTTGCAATCACTGCCTAGTACAGGTGCTGCCCTCTGCGCACAATACCTTGTGAGGAGGTGTGAAATGGGGGGGGGGCACAAGGGTTTGTCGATTACTTATTAATGGATTGTTTTACGTAAGGTAGCCACAATAGAACCCTTATACTTATTTAAATACTTTTCCTATTATTATATGGAGTCTTCATTGTATGGCAGTGGCTAACACCTGGCACTCTTTTGTGGCGACCCTTCCGGCAAGTGACACATAATCATTTATGGCACCCCTTATGGCAAGCCAGTCAGTGGCACTCCTATGGCATCCCTTATGGTATTTCTCATAGAACCGTCTAGATATCACACACATTTTATCATTACACTTATCATCACTTAACATACATATGTATCAAAATTCTAAAATGTTTCTTACCCCAGACTGGTATAAAAATTAAATATGTTTCTGACCCAGACTGGCAATACTGTCGATTATTTTAAAAACACTTGTGCTCTGGAGTCTCTGTTGAAGTAATCGATCACACTTTCAAAAGAAATTGAAAAAAAAATCATTGATAATTTCAACAAAATACTTGATTGGAATTATGTAATAATGGGTTTTCAATAAATATCTATACTAAAATGTTATTATCCACGTAGAACGAATCTATATATTTTGACAAATGTTACCTCTCATTAAATATTGGTAATCGGTAATCTTACCATAAAAATGCCCTACATCATGTGGACTACCTACCTTAAGTAGGATATGTATGCAACTCACTAATATCTAGATAAGTGCCAAAAGAGATACCATTAGACAGTGCCAAGTTTTGATCACTACCCAGTGATCTCCCCACCATTAAAGCAAATGGGCTCAGCACCCACCTGAGATTTTAAAAATAGGCTTGCACCCACCTGAAAATCCATTTGCACTCACTTGAATGAAAAATTGGCATTATTTTGAACAATTTTTGTCTGAATTGTGAAAATGAGAATTTTGCACCAACATGAGAAAAAAATCCTGGGGAGATCACTGCTATCCATATTACATTTCTTCCATTCTTTTGAAATTCCAAACTTCAAAGATGGCTAAACCGAGAATATAAGAAGTCTAACCCCAAGGTAAATATTTGGATGACATGAGAAATCCATTTCACAATATTGGTTTAGTTGAAATGTTATTTAATACAATGAGTACAAACACGACACCTGATGCATCTTCACTTGTCTACAATACCACTGGCGGTCCAGCACCCTCCCTTGGGTGGGCCGAGAAAGAAAAATTTGGGGCCAAAATTAGTGCGCCTTTTTTGGCATTACTTTTCAGCTTTGAAATTTGGACCCCCCCTTGTTAGCATCTGGATCCGCAAGTGAGTACAGTATTGCATTTCTTTCAAAAGAAAGGCATGCAATATGAAAATGCATATAGGTATTTGTACCAACATTCTGATTTATTGGAGATCATTCAGCTTCCTTTCTACATGTGGCATTTAACATGTGGCCTACTGATATGTAATTCAGAAAACATAAACATACTCATGTATTTTATATATTTATTATGCATCGATGTAATGATATTGACAATACTGCAATTTGGTTGGTTCACAAACTGAAGAAGGAATATTAAATATGGTTAAAAGCTCACTTAATATTTTTCTATGTTTTCTCAAGGGTACTAAAACAGTCCATTTCAGCTAAAAACAGTCCATTTACTACATCAGTGGAATTTAGCCCACACAAGTTCCACCATTTTTGTTTTGTTGGATAATGCTACAGCTTGTCAAATATTATTGATTTGGCAAATGAATTGAAAATCAAATTGGTAAGTGACACCGGAGCAGAGGAAAAGTGAAATTGTGAGCACAAAAGAGTATATCTCCTAGACAATGAAGGTAGGATCCCAGTGTGTTCATTGCTTTTAATTTTCAGAAAATGTTGTAGAGGATATTATGCCCACTCACTCTGCCCTAGGATAAATCATGTAGACTGTTACAGTTTATATGGATTCTCAATTAGATACGGTTGCTTTGGCTTCCTGTCTGATGGGTCAGTAAGCTCTAAGTTACCGCCAGCTGAATAATGACGAGGTACAAGATATATCATAGTTATATTAGTATATAGAGTTAATTTTCATTTTGAAGGCTTTTGTCACATTTCTCTTGACTGTTTAGTGTCAAGCCTCATGGCTAAAATCATACTTCGCTTGATTGCTTAATGACATGTTTTGAAAGCTCTTGTCACATCTTGATTAATTGTTTCATGTCACATTTCAAAACCCCTCGTCACATTTTGAAAAGGGTTGATTGTGGGAATTGTAGCCGATTGTTTAATGTCATGTATTGAAAGCTCTTGTTACATCTTGATTGATTGTTTCATGTCACATTTCAAAAGCCCTCGTCACATTTTGAAAAGTGTTGATTGTGGGAATTGTAGCTGGACTGTTGGTGTTGGAGTCGGTGAATCTGAAAATTCAATCAACATTTATGTTTATTTCAATTTTCCATTATTAGTTGTAAATCCCTAAGAAACCTGAAATTAGGAATATCTACATGTCAAACAGACCGGTTACATGGTTTCTTTAATATTGAATTACAGTAAAACCTGTGCATAAGAACTCCTCTTAATCTAAACACCTCTCAATGTGAACACTTTTTCGGTCCCAATTTTGTTATTTCCCATTGACTCATACATTAAGAAACCTAAAATTGTGAACATCCGCTTATCTGCTGGTCCAACTGGTGTTCCAATTAGACAGGTTTTATTGTACTTCTAATCTATCTTACAAAATGAACAATATCATATATCATAGACAATGTTGCTTAAGAAATGAATGGTACAAGCTAGACCTTAGTTTAAGAAATATGTAACAATTAAGAGTGGAGAAACAAAAATGCAAAGGTGTAACCTATACATCCAAACACCTCTCTAATCTGTACATCTCTTAATTTCACTCTTTAACGTGAACACTTTTTTCAGTTCAATTTTTAAATCTGGGATCTGTCACATTAATAACATTCAAACTCTAAAAAGCTGCATATCCAAACTATATAGTGTTTTTGGGGCTATCAATATTATGTCCAACGAAATCCAGTGATCAGCAAAATAAATTACTTAATTTCAACAAATCATAATTCACAATATTTCCAAAACACAGGCCAGCTGCTCTTTTTAAACCTATTAAGATACTTGCCAAGAAATAAATGAAGAGATATGAAATATACAATATATCACTATTCGGGAAAAAGTCCAAATGATCACACTTGATTAACACTATAAACCTTCGTGAATAATTCAAAACTTTCTCTCGTAATTTGTTTATCCTTAATTGATTCTATTGTGAAACAGAGTTTAATGTAATTTGGTCATCTCAACAAGTGATTTATGATCTAATAAATTCATTAGGGAATTCATAACTGTCGTGGCAAATTTACATCATCGTACTTCATGATCTTGTGTTTAGCACGCCATTGCTGTCAGGTACTCTTACTACTGTCTGAAGCTTAAGGGCATCAATTTGAACATTGTAAATCAGATATTTTCATGTCAGCCAAAACAACAATCAAAGGTACCTTTACATGGTACATCAATTATGGGAACAATTTGTGGAACCTCATCTTTGGTATATCATGGAAACTTGTCTTTTTTCTCATTCCGGGATGAGCAACCAATATTTGAAAGACAGAAAGATGAGTATCAAAATGTCAATCATCTCAAACACAGGAATATTTGATATGAATAATTCATTGAGACAATCAAATCAGCGTGCGTGTGACAAACATACACAACATTACAGGACTTTAAGAAATATTTAGGAATTGCAATTCAATTAACTCATATGTGCACTTACCATTTCCCCCTCATGTGTCTAATTAGATTTTCATCACATATCAATATTTTATAAGATTTGAAAGAATTACAACTGTATAAGCTTGACCATGATACCTCATAAATACAGATTTGCTTTTTCTGTTCAAACAATTTCCAATGCCACATTATTGTAATCTAAAATATGGGGAAAATACCTGTTATTAAGACTAAAATAATCTGTAGTTATTCTATAGCTTGCTATTGCACATAAGCTGTAGCATCCTTCCTTGTTGAGATCAAAGGAAACCAACAATATCCACAATGCCTTTTTGATTTATTGTAAACAATTATTACTTTTACAATAAAAATAGACCGGATTTGTGCAATTTCCAAGTAAAATAACGAGGTAGGTTACATTAATCTGGTACCCAAATATAGAAATCATAAAAACTCAAAAGAGATATAACTTAAAAAAATACATACATCTTTTGATTATTAATTAAGTGCGATGAAATCTGGGTTTGGTTTTTGATCATTGTCATTCAAGTTTTCTTCGAGGTATTACTACATAGACCTATTTCTTATTGTTTTTCTGATATTTCATAACTATAGCTACCCTGTACAGTTTATAACTCAATTAGCCCCTCTGACTGCAACGGATGATTTCCTATTAAAAACCTTTTGATATTTCATTGTGATATGATGCATTATTAGCTACCCTGTATATAGCTCAGTTAGCCAGTTTCACTCCCCTCTGATTGCAACTAATGAATTTTGTTGACAAGCTCTATAAAATCAAATACTTGGAGATTAAAAATATTGAGTTGGAGCCATGAGATCCAGTTCTACTTGATCTTTAAATTTAAATGTTGATTTCATGAAATTTTAATTGAATATGAAATACATGTTAGCTAATAAAGAAGAAAATATCTTCATTTCCTGACTTTATGTTCTAATGAAAAATAAGTTAAGATCAAATAATTATCTCTTAAATTAAAGAGTGTAAGTTACAAAGGGTATATCTATAATTACATGTCTAATTCATGTATTTGGATTAAAGCACATGATTTATGACAAAGTGCACTGTAATAAATGTTCACAAGATGAAAGTTGTAAATTGACTGGAAAGATTGATTACTTTTTCTATGAATATACACAAAGATTTTAATATTTGTACACATTCACGTAATCAATTCACTTCAGTAGAAAATTACTGTGAAAATGTGTAAATGGATTCATCTTGAAAACAAGTCAAAACCAATCCTTTGTATCATTACGTATCATGGTAAGACTATTTCAAAGTAAGGTGGACAAAAGAGAGGAAAAATGTCAAAAACTATTTAGAAATACATGATGTAGTAACATGCAAAATTCTCATTACTTGACTGGGAGTAAAAGAAGCATTTATCATGTTGGAAGTGAAAAGTATTATGTATTTTGCAGCATAACCGTCATACCCACAGTTTCAGCTATATTCCTTGCCTTGCACAAGTCGCTCTCTTTTACTTATCTTGTTTCAAATAATTCAAGATCAGATAAGTAAAAACTAGATAACGGCAACTCCGCGGAGTAGCAAATCCCAACGAACAAAATATCAATTACCGAATTCCAATCAATTATACTCATTACTTTGGTTAAAATCGAAAAAATTAGATTTTAGAATTGCGAATTCCTGCAAAGCAGCCATTTGGAATTTTCTGAGGTACAAATCTGAAAAATAATACCATAATTGTGATCTACTCCAAAATTCCTTCAATTTGAGTATAATATAGCCATACTTTGAAGGGATCGAAAAATTATAGCGAAATCGTACATAAGACGGCCATTTTGAATTTTACGAGGCTCGAATCAGAAAAAAGATACAATATTTGCAATCTACTCTTAATTGCCTTTCATTTGAGTATAATAAAGCTATACTTCAGAAAGATCTAAAAATTAGCGAAAATTTCTGTTTTCCTGTTCCCCCATACACGGCCCCTGGGTGTCAGGATGAAAAATGAATATATGTGAAACAGATAAATGTTGTGAATATACTACCAAAATTTCAAACAATAATATTAATTACTTTGGTTTAGAATGAAAAATTTATGATTTTTGCGAAAAAGTCCCGTCATTTTTAAAGCGGCAGCCATCTTGAAAAAAGTTTTTTTTGCGTAAAACTATTCACCAATATACATCTTTCCACTAAATATGAAGAAAATCCGTCGACTAGTATTTGAGTTATCTTCCGGACAGACGGACGGACGGACTGACTGACTGACTGACTGACGGACTGACGGACTGACGGACTGACGGACGGACAGTCGGACGGAGGGCTTCACTATATCCCTACCGAACTTCGTTCGTTGGGATAACAATACCAACTAGGCCAAGGCTACTATATTCCTAAGACATTGTATTTGAAAAAAAAAATTGATTTTAATTTGTATCCTTAATTCTATCAGAAACTAAATTGTTTGTTTTCTTGTAATAACCACTTAATTTGAGTCAGCTATTTTTTCAAACTGTGGTCATATTTTTGGGCCACTCTGTAGATCCTATAAAATTGTATACAAAACCTGGTGCATAATTTACTCTGAAAAGATAATATTTTATTTGTCTCCACCAGCATCCGATTATTGTAGGGGAAGCAATCAATAAAAAAAAACGTGTAGAAAAATGTTTGTTTTATCTATAACAGGATGTGGTTTGTTATCAAAGATGACAGAGTGTACAAACAAAAAACAAAATTGAATCCAGGTATAGTGATTAACAAAGTAAATTTACTTTTCTCATGATAAAATTATTGACATTATAGAACTCTGACAAAAGTCTGATCAAATTTCACATGTCATTGACTGACTGAAGGGTGTGCCCAGGGATCAACAGGGGGTTTCCAGGATTTGAAGTTTTTGTCTTTGTTTTTTCATCCCAGCCTAAGTCTACTTGCACCATTGTGCTGACACTTGAAATAATAGACCTTGGGGTAGATATGATTGTTTCATGAGTTAAAATAAGTTCATCCAATAGTTCAATTTCTTGACCTTCAACCGCTGGTCTAAAAATAGTGGCTAATAATATTTTACATGTAACCATTTCTTGGTGGCACCATAAACAGACCATATTCTCTGTATTTAGCACCCAGTTAATACTTGGTCTTTCTTAAATATTTGTTGAACTTGTGAAGTAAGATGGGTGCTTATTAGATAGTGGGCCCTAAATACAGTGAATCGGTATATGTATTTAATAATATGCTGTGATAATAAAATGTGAGGTGTCTATATTGGAGAAGTGTTGAACTGACAGAAATGTTTAATTAGCATAGTATATAGGTATTCAACTAATAGAGGTGTTCAATTAAGAGAGGCGTTCAACTTTACATACAGAGGTGTTCATATTAAAGAGATGTTGAAATTAAAGTCACATAACAGTGTGGTATTCAATTGACACATATGTTCAACTTACAGAGGTATTCAATTGACATATGTGTTCAACTTACAGAGGTATTCAATTGACACATATATTCAACTTACAGAGGTATTCAATTGACACATATGTTCAACTTACAGAGGTATTCAATTGACAAATGTGTTCAACTTACAGAGGTATTCAATTGACACATGTGTTCAACTTACAGAGGTATTCAACTGACACAATTCAATTGACTCATATGTTCAACTTAACCTCTTGACTACCCAGAATGACAAGATTTCTCGTCACCTCAGAAATGACCTTGAAACCCAGAGGGACGAGAAAATCCGTCACAAAATTGTTCACAAAAATTGCTCTTATTTGAACAATTTTCATCCAATTTACACAAAAAATTGTTTTAAAACATGTAGAAATGATCTATGCCATCTAATTTTACTAAGTTGAGCATCTAAAGTTGTAAAGGTATGTAGTAAAATGTCAAAAGGTGGCAAAAAATGAAAAATTCTCTGGTTTCAACCAATTTTAGAGCCTGGGATTCAAGAGGTTAAAGAGGTATTCAATTGACACATGTGTTTATCTTACAGAGGTATTCAATTGACACATGTGTTCAACTGACAGAGGTATTCAACTGACACATGTGTTAATCTTACAGAGGTATTCAATTGACACATGTGTTAATCTTACAGAGGTAATCAATTGACACATTTGTTTATCTTACAGAGGTATTCAACTGACACATGTGTTTATCTTACAGAGGTATTCAATTGACACATGTGTTCAACTGACAGAGGTATTCAACTGACACATGTGTTAATCTTAGAGGTATTCAATTGACACATGTGTTAATCTTACAGAGGTATTCAATTGACACATTTGTTCAACTTACAGAGGTATTCAATTGACTCATGTGTTCAACTTACAGAGGTATTCAATTGACATATGTGTTCAACTTACTTAGGTATTCAATTGACACATGTGTTCAACTTACAGAGGTATTCAATTGACACATATATTTAACTTACAGAGGTATTCAATTGACACATGTGTTTATCTTACAGAGGTATTCAATTGACACATGTGTTCAACTTAAAGAGGTATTCAATTGACACATATGTTCCCACTTACAGAGGTATTCAATTGACACATATATTCAACTTACAGAGGTATTCAATTGACACATATGTTCAAATTACAGAGGTATCCAACTGACACATATGTTCAACTTAGAGAGGTATTTAATTGACACATACGTTCAACTTACAGAGGTATTCAATTGACATATGTGTTCAACTTACTTATGTATTCAATTGACACATGTGTTCAACTTACAGAGGTATTCAATTGACACATATGTTCAACTTACAGAGGTATTCAATTGACAAATGTGTTCAACTTACAGAGGTATTCAATTGACACATATATTCAACTTACAGAGGTATTCAATTGACACATATGTTCAACTTACAGAGGTATTCAATTGACATATGTGTTCAAGTTACAGAGGTATTCAACTGACACATATGTTCAACTTACAGAGGTATTCAACTGAGCATGTGTTCAAATTACAGAGGTATTCAATTGACACATGTGTTCAACTTACAGAGGTATTCAATTGACACATATGTTCAACTTACAGAGGTATTCAACTGACACATGTGTTCAACTTACAGAGGTATTCAATTGACACATATGTTCAACTTTAGGAGGTTTTCAATTGACACATATATTCAACTTCAATTGACACAAGTGTTCAACTAACAGAGGTATTCAATTGAGACATGTGTTCAACTTACAGAGGTGTTCAAAGTACAAATGTGTTCATACTATATAGAGATGTTCAAATTTCCAGATATCTATATAATGGTATAATAATGTTACCTGAGAATGTCTCCATTGTCTGCTGCCACTTCACAACTTCAGCAAAATTCTAGAATGAAACAATATCAATCAGTCAACAAAATGTGAAGAAATATTTTGCTCCTACCCACATGGAGGCAGAGTAACTCCTGTCTAATCCAAATGCCAGGTGTTCACATTACAAGGTTCCTTAATATGTGAGTCAATGAGAGGTAACAAAATTTGGACTGAGAAAAAGAGTTCACATCGAGAGGTGTTTGGATTAGAGAGGCGTTTGGATGTACATGTACATGTTTTATTGTATAGTTTTATATTATATGATTGACTTTAAAAGACCCATAAACCATATAAATATTTATGATGTTATCACTGAACAGATCCACTATAGGCAAAGAAGCGTTCTACTCTAGAGCAAGATTTCAAAATAAATGAATTTATACATAAAATTGTTTTAAGTTCAGGTCAATGGAAATCAAATTTCATTCGTGGGAACAATGTCCAAGAATTATACCAGTCATCTGAGAATTGAAATTAATGAGCAGGAACATATCATGACATCAGATGTCAATACATGAGATCAATATCCTAGTTTCCTGACAATAAACCTGCTATAAGGTTTTACTGATTTCCAAACACTAAACCTGATATTTCTTGAGTCATAAATAATTGTTTTAACCTTTTCCTTTAGGATTTCCAATCAAGAAATATTTTTATTGATATTTAATTGAGTTATAACTATCATTTTTTATCGTTTTAGTAGACCAGTGTTGCCAGGCATGATGACTCTATTGTGGGTGAGACAATCAAAATATAATAAATTTATATTTTTTCTTCCCCATTTGGACTTAATTTGCCTGTTTTTCTTTCAAGTTGGCTCTGGCACTGATTGGCGCAAACTCCTCATTTTCAATTTGATTAATGTACAATGTAAAGCTGACATTCTTAATCTGTAAACCTTTATTACATCAATCACCGTTAGGATAAAATAACATTGCAGTCATTAAAATTAATAGAAAAATGGTAACTCCTAGGGATAGAAAATACCACCCAAGATTATAACACAAGGCAATAACATGCAATATGTCACCACTTGCCATTTGTTACATACACCAACCGTTACAGATGCCGAAAGCTGAATCCAACCGCCATCCGCAAAATAGTTGGAGACTATATTCTCAGTAATCAAAAATGACATTTTTTTCAAGTAGTCTAGCTACAAGCCTTTGTACCCCCCCCACAACACACCTCCCCCTGTGTGAGAAGTTCTCATACCTGTGTAGTCTAGTAGAGGGAGGGGGGGGGGGGGTGTCACAGGAGCTTGTAGCTAGACTCTTTTTCAAGAAATGATGGCCATTTTAAATTCAGCCAACATCTTACAAATTTCTTCTTGAGCAGAGGTCAATCCTCTGCACACGAGGCATCAGCCTAAAAATCAAACTGATCAGATGGACGGATGTACGGCTTCTCTATATCCAAAACAGAGAGTGACACTGAGAGATTTAATCAAATATAGAGTGTAATAAATGTGATATATCAGGCATCGCTAACTTCACCATTCATTGTAAATAAATTGAATAATGTAAAATTGATACTTGGATACCACCCATGTTCTGGTTTTATTCAACAATAAAATCTCTTCAAATAACTACCTGCCAGACTCCAGAATTCCCAATAATTATGTAAGATGAGTGCAAATTTAATTCTGTACATAATTGATAAGTGAATCCTGACTACATTCAGCATCTACAATCAAGGCACAATGACCATTTTTTCAACAGGTAATCATACTATATTCTGGACTTATGCAATCCTGGTTCTTTGTCTTCTGAACAGACACTAGACTAAAGATAAACACATTATGTCTGAAAATGTTTTAATATCATGTTTTTGAAGTCTTAGTGATTGATTTTCTCTAGGCCCCTTGGAGTCTGAGATGATTTTAATTAATTATTATTTCGAACATTATAAGATATACAGAGTGACACAAAAATACAACCCTATAATTTATAAATAACTCTCAATTTTGGTGGAATCTGTAGATACAGTGTTCAATGAAACTGTAACATACACATATATCAAAATATTACTTTTTTCATTTAGGCATACTGTTAAACCAAATCACTAACAAGGCATTAACATGACAAAATGTCACCATCTTGTAAGTTGTTGCAAATTGTTACAGACACTGCAAATTTAAAAAAATGACAAATGCAAATTGTTACAAACACTGAATGCCGAACACAGTCCAGAAAAAAGTTTAATTTGCAATACTATAGCAACAAATGTGATGGTGACATAAAATCTATGAAATCTGTTTACAAAATAAGCAATTCAATTCATCATACTTTAAAAACGCTATTCCATAAAATTGGGTGAATAGGATATATTATTTATAGTCTTACAAAGCAATAGAGAAATGGCAAAGGCTATCCAAAGTAAACCAAAATTCAGAATATTGAATTTTATAATGTTTTGGATAATTTACACAAGAACATGGCAAGACAGAAATATAATTTCTCAAATTGCTCAAATTATTTCTTCATCTTTTAACACTTTAACAACAATTAAGTGCTCTTTCCAATGGTACATAGTATGTATTTGTACCTCTCTTAGTTTATGCTGGGGATTGGGGGCACAACATAATTTGCCACCCTGTACTTAATAAGCTATCATAGAGCTTCAATCATATTTGTGAGTTATTCCAAAATTAGAGCGATGCATTTTGTGTCACCCTGTGAGGAATGAAAGGAAATAAATGATCCCTCTGTGGTCCTATAAACCTCCACATTAAGATAATGCTACACTGGTGATTTGACTTTTCATATAGTCACCAGACCAAAGATAAACATATCTCTAGAAAAATTCCAATGCCACAATCTTCATGCTTATGATTGATTTTCTCACTGCACAGAGATCTTGAGTATAATTTTAATTATTTACACAATGATAAGGAATATAACAAGGCAGTAACATGCAAAATGTCACCACCTGCCATTTTTTACAGACACCTAACACCAACTGCCACATGCTGAACACAAACCACTGAATGCCCAAACACCAACCACTAAGCAACATCCACAAAAAGTTATAAACTATGACAATATGCCACCACTTTTGATGGTGACATAATAAGCTTTACTGTAGTCCTACAAGCCTTTACATAAAATTCAAGTTGTGATAGATGAGATGATTAGACCTTGTAAATGTAATGTGGCTTAACTAAAGATGTGATTTATGGTAGCCTGTCACACGCCAGTTCTAGTTAGGTCGAGTTGACAATTCAATCAAAGATAAAGAGAAAGGCCATGTAAGACAAGGAAAATGAAGGAAAATGATAATGGTATATTATAAAGAGTGACATGCCTTGTACTGTAAGGAAAAATAAAGGAAAATAATGTTTCAATAAAGTTAATTAAATGCAAGTATAAAAATTAATAAAACATGCAATGATTGGTATTGTAAGAGTCAATGACTGCCTTGTAAATACCCAACATGCCCAAAACGGAATATGATCTCATAAGATCTTGGCATTTTGTCCAAGCACCATGCCAAACACCAACAATCAAATGCCAAACACCAACACCAAATGCCAAGCACTGTTCACAAAAAAAGTTGGAAACCATACAATATGCCACCACTTGTGTTGGTAAAATAATGAATTTAATATTACTGCCGATGAAAATATCATTCTTGTCTTGAATATCACATACATATAATATTACATACATATAATATCACAAGTATTTCACTTAATTCTACAGAATTACACAATAGACTTCTTTCTAAAGGTCTTGCTGCTGCTAGACATTACATAGAAAGTATGACATAAATATCTCATAAATATCCGTTAATATTTCAAAGACAAGCTACAGCAAAGAACACTTGTGAAACGTTGATATATGGCAGGTGAATTCATCCCCATAGATTGAGCTTAATGAAAAAGAGAATGACTTGTTTAGTAGGCAACTCTTAATTATCAGGGATCTATTAGATATCTACTTGAAATATTAAGGTAACAATAGAGCAACTGAATCTTGTAAATCAAGATCGGATGATAAGCATAATTTGAAAGTTGTCTTGAAGGCTTATATTTTACTTTATTATATCACTATCTAGCTAGCGACAGTATGATTGGTCAAAACCGGGTCACATGTCGTGGGATATCTGGCGATATTCAATGGCAATGCTAATCAGATAAGACAACCGTGAGATATCTAGCGATATCCCACGCTCCCTGGAATTTTCAAAGAATTTGTTTTCGTTCAGTGTAAATAATTTAGTTCAGTGTAAGTCAAAATGGCAGACGAACCGAGTAGATTCGTATTCAATGTTAACCTATGACTTAATAATATTAGGGATGTTTAGCTAGACAGTGATATAATAAAACAAATATTTCACTCTATTTTCGGTGAATACCTGTAGCACTTTCACAAGGTGATATTCCACTTGCCCTTCGGGCTTCGTGGAATATCACTTGTGAAAGATGTACAGGTATTCACCTCAATAGAGTGAAATATTTGTTCAATATTGACTTGAACAGTAGGTGAAGCCTTAGTGCTGGGTCATAGTTCTGGGCCATAGTGGTCATTATCCACTCTGGGGCAAAAAATAAGTTTGTACTTACTAAGTTACCAAAATATATAGCTGGTGATATAGTATTAACCTTATTTCAGAGAGCAACATAGTGAAAACTTGACCCTCGGGCCTCAGGCCTTTCGTCGTTGTGCCAAGATTTCACTATTTTATGTTGCCCACTGATTATTGGTATAAGGTTCCTGGTCAAAAGTTACAATCTTGTCTTAATTTCTTGGATACCACAGCATTTTTGCCAGTTTTCACCATATTGCCTTCTTAGATACAATATGATGTATGCTTCGGTGAAAGTATTGACCAACTACTGACCCACAATACATAATACGAGTTTGATCTCTTTTTGGCAAGATTTGGCTCATTTCTATAAAACATATGCCTCCATCACGTTTGAAAGGGTGGCCATGCACTCTCAAATCCTTAGGGCCAATTTTTCGCAATTATAAGACCACCCTAGAATTACCATGTTCACATACAGTATCAGTCACATTCAACGTTAATCACATGGATTTGTGGACACATCAGAAAACCTGCAGTTGCCAACCTGCCATAGAAGTTATGATACACGATCGCCTTAGTATTTCTCAATTTAAGGAAACTACAGATGCCATATCCTAACCGTAATGCAAATGTGGCTGAGGCATTAGTCATACACACCCGCAAGCATGAATATTTTATGAGTCAATTTGAAGATTTGAATGAATTATAAAAATATATTAATCACCAAGATTTTTTATTGCTGGATAAGTTTATTATAAAAATTAATAAAATTAATATCTTGCAGATTTCACTATGTTTCACAAATAAGCCAATACTTTTATATTTATCAGAAGCAGACTTGCCAACCTAAAATTTTCGGGAGATTTAAAAAAAATTGTGGTACTTTTACGGGAGTTTTTTTCAAAATCTGGTAGTTTTTTTAAAAAGCGGGAGTTTTTACGGGGGATTTTTGAAAAAAACGGTAGTTTTTACGGGAGATTTAAAAAAACGGGAGGTTTTGCGGTAAATTTTGAAAAAAAGGGAGTTTTTTCCGGGAGATTTTGAAACAATGGGAGTTTTTCCGGGAGATTTTTTAAAAAAAGTATTTTTAATTTTAAAAACGTGACTTTTTTAAGGAAGATTTCAGAAAAACGGGAGTTTTTGCGGTAGGTTCTGAAAAAACGGGAGTTTTACGGTAGGTTTTGAAAAAACGGGAGTTTCTGCGGTAGATTTTTAAAAAAAAACGGGAGTTTTTACTGTAGATTTCTGAAAAAACAGGAGTTTTTACGGTAGATTTCTGAAAAACTGGAGTTTTTACGGTAGATTTCTAAAAAAACGGGAGTTTTTACAGTAGATTTCTGAAAAAACAGGAGTTTTTACTCTAGAATTTGAAAAAACAGGAGTTTTTACGGTAGATTTTGAAAGAACAGGAGTTTTTACGGTAGATTTCGGAAAAAACGGGAGTTCTTACGGTAGATTTTGAAAAAAAACGTGATTTTTACGGTAGATTTCTGAAAAAACTGGAGTTTTTACGGTAGATTTTGAAAAACGGGAGTTTTTACGGTATTAAATCCAGCAATTTAATTGGTTGAAATTATTATGACGCATGCGCAGTTAATAAATTAATTAGAACTTATAATCAATGATAGATGTCACTTACGTTCATTATTTCACAGCAGTCCCTACAAATAATGCGCCTTATATTGCGGAAATATTTTGTTTAGCGCCATATAAAAACAAAATGTATTCTCCCGACAGAAGTATGACAGAATATGAACTGGCCCCCGTTTGTGGACATTTGGTGTGCAAACTTATACCGAACTGATCGCAGAAAAGCAATTTGAATCATGGGAATGAAGTACTTTTAAGTTATTTATGAAAGTATCTATAGTGAACCATGGGAGCCAATCCTTCTTGGAGTAAAAGAAAGAAGCGTGCCTGCAATAATCAAGGTCACAAATTTGTCAAATTCCTTTTAAATACGGTAGATTTCGACAGCAAAAAACTGAGATTTTACGGGAGTTATACCAAGAATACGGGAGTTAAACCAGAAAACGGGAGATATTACGGGAGTTATACCAAGAATAGGGGAGATTATACGGGAGTTATACCAGAATATGGGAGATTTTACAGGAGATTTCAGCAAAAATACGGGAGATTTTACGGCCATATTTTTAAAAAAATTATGTGAGATTTTAGTAGAAATACGGTACGGGAGTTTTTACGGGAGAAAACGGTACGGGAGTTTGGTATTTTTACGGAAAAACAAAAAATTTACGGGAGATTCCCGTAAAAAAATGGGAGGTTGGCAAGTCTGAGAAGTGACTTAATCAAGAATGTGCTTGTCGTATATACCTCTAGTATTGTTCCATAGTCTTTGTTCTTTTATCGGGACATGAAATAATTCTATAGGTATATGTCTTCTCTCAACACCCACATATGACTTCTGATGTCTTAAGAGACTTACTTTCGACAGGGATAGTTTTTTTCATCAGTTTTGATCTATCGATTCTCTTAATAATGAGACTAATCCAAAGACCTTGTACAATCTTAAGCACCTAATGCGAAAATGAAACCATTTCATGTTACGAGAGAAAACTTGTTATTGTTATCATTCTTATATATTAATAACTAAGAATAAACGAAGTGCTGTAAGTTGAAATATTACATTATTTGATTGTTGAAAAATAGATACACTTGAACTTTTACGGCATTCAATTCCAATAAAAAACAACCAAGTCATCCTGTTATTTCATAAAGTGTACTAAAAATAAAGAAAGCATGATGTCTTTTTCTTTGATGTAGACTTATCCACTCATGTCCTGTTTCACGCATGTGTTGACTCAAGCATATACTAAACAAATAACTGTTGATGTTTTCTTGCATTGATCCCTCAGAGGTGACCTTGAGGTCTGCAAAGTTGAGTAGAATCACGTATGTCACATTTAGAAGTGTCATGACTTAAGGGTAAGATATGTAAGCAAAATGAGAAAGACATGGAGCATTACAAAGCAAGTGGCTGATAATGCCTTCAGCAAAGCCACTACAAGTGTATAATGTTTATGTACTTTATGTATTTGTAAAATAAATTCTATGAATAAAAAAAAAATTACAAAGCACAGCAATAATTAACACTATTCTTGAATATGTAAGCACAAGTGCCGAAGGGAAAGGACTAAAATTGTACAGAATACAGCAAGAAAAGGAAATGTTTAAGTGTCTACCAGTCATAAGGAAAACAAACCCCAACTATCCAAACCAATTGAAATCCATAAAAAGTTAGTTTGAAGTTATCCTTGAAGTTAGCTTTATTTGAGGTTATTCATTGACATCTGATTGAAACTGATTGTTCTGATTGATTGAAATCTTATGTGGTAAAATGATATGATTACAATATAGACAAGATTCCAGTAATTATGATTGTGCAATGTTGTTTCATGATACTACTTAGACATTATTAGATACTACTTAGACATGATTTCCAGGTCTGATACCTTCTTTGGTGAACCTATTTTCATATTTTTCCAATGTGCACAATTATGCTTAAACGCATATTCAAAGAGGTGGATAATACTGATCACTAATCATAGGGAATATTATCCATATTCACTTAGGTTATTACCTGCACCATTTTAGCATCAGCCTCAGTAATGCCAATTCTGTTCAAGAATTCCAGGGACTCTGTCTCAAAGTCTTCTCCAGTGTTCTGCCGACTGGAATCAAACCAAATATTCTATTAGCAAGTGTAGGACTTATCTTTCTTTATTACTCTTAATTCTTATTAATCATGTTAACACCCAGATTTTATTTAGTCTGTTTTTCATTTTTAATTAACTTTCTAAAAGTACAGTATTCCATCAATCGTAAATATAGTTATTACTAGATCTCATGGTTACATTGTAACATGCTTAGGGGTTTAATATCATTCTTCGTAAAACATGATTAAAACGGGTGTCATTAAGGGGCCTTTTTAGCCCCCAAAGATATCTCATAATAATGCAAATCATATTGAAGAAAAATCATTGGTGCTTCATAAAAATACAATTTCAGCAAATTTTGACCTTTGATGTTCACACAACAGTCATTTAAAGAGCATATACAGTTTTTGGTGTTTTTACAAAAATTTCTTTATTTATTGTTGTTTAAGTAAATAATATGTATATATAAACCAATTTAGATATATTAAAATGTAATATATGAAATACTGAAGAAAAGATACGATTAAAACTATTTTCATGGAAAAGCACATAAGGCAATATTGGCAAAATGCAAATGCTATTTTGGCAGGTTCTAGGCTAGCAATGGGTACATTTCGACTGTGACTGCAATGGATTACTACTAACTTTTATCAACATCACAGGGCAACATTTAAGCAACTTAAATACAAGGAAAATCAAAGATTTCCTCTCATTTTTAAAACGAGGAACAAAAGCATGAATTCAAGGAAAAGAAATGATGGCCTGTGCCAAAATATAAAATATGAGAAAGTTGTGGCACAGTAAAGGATATGTATAGGATATCATATGATTTTAAATGATTTCATATTTATCTCCGAATTGATATCAATATCTTACCAAATTAGCATAGCGAATTAGCGCAGATATTGATATCAATGAGTGGATTAACATGATATCACGAAAATTCATAGGATGTTCTATTTATCCCATAGTTCACCTATAAAACTTAAAACATATCAAAACAACATCCATTCATTCATTCATCCCCGTGATGTCATGAAATCACTAAGTAACAAAACACATCATATTGGTGGTAGTTTTCAAATCCCAGGCAAAAGGTGATATCTCTGAAATATTTTCCGTATTCCACAGATATCACTTTTTTCCTTGCATTTGCAAAATATCATAAATATGTTTTCATGTTACCTCATGTTAACAGAGTGGAACAGAGCTCAACTATGGGATAAAGAATAACAAATAGGTGAATAATTGAATTACCACTCTAAAAATATTAATAAATATGAGGGTTTAAAGAAAGAATAATGAATATGAGATTCAAAAAGTAGCAACTCATGTCTCACATTACCCAAACCCCAGATCCTCGATGTCATATATGAGTATATATACCGTGCATCAATGTTATTTACAGGGAGGATTAAATATGGAGTGTATAGCAATGGTCAATACAATATTTCCAGAGGGAATATCTTTTTTCTCTAAAAGTGGAACCTAAACGCAGTCATGACATGGAAGCTAACTTTTGCAATTAATAGAAACTTGTTTTTTATTATATTTTTGTGTTCTATATTTAAAATGAAATAATATGAAATTCATTTCTACAAGAGGATGGAATGAATGTGAACTTGTATATTGAACTATACTCCTTTTCTGAATAAATAGAACAACATTTTATCCAAGCAAATTAAGAAAACCAAGGCCAACAGTGTAATTTATGCCCAGTTAAACTAACACAATAACAACCTTTTGTCTGGACTCACTTATTATGTAAGAATGAATTGTATTACTGTTTACTGCATTAAATATCAAGTATACTATATGTATGTAATTTCAAATGCCTATCTCACTTATCGAAGGTATACAAGATATGTTATTTTAAAACAAATTCAGCACAACCAAAACCATGTCATCATATATGACAAATCCAAGATGGCTGCCACAATTTTAGATCCATGCACATGTGAAGAAGTTAGAAATACACATGAATCACAAGTTCCATCCCCAATGAAATGGGAAGTTTAAGGTTCTAACACATATCAACTCTATTCCTATATACTTTATATTTGTGGTAAGGCTTGTGATCTAGGTAAACTTAACATGTTCATGAACCTCCTCTGAAGCTGAAAACAGAAATAGTGACTTCGATTGAGAAAAATGTATCTTATGGGCTCCATATACATTTTGAGTGGCTGTCCAGCTTAAGTTAGATACTACTGTTAATCTGAGATTGAAAATTATGTCAAGTTTAGTCATCAGCCTCTCATAACTGATAATTTCGAGGTAATTGTGTTGTTACTGCAAAAACTTCTATTTCTTCATCACAAATCTACCATCTTTTGCATCTGTCAAAACCTCTCATTTCATGTAAATTTTCAGACTTTTGCTTGTGCCATCATTAAATATATATATTCAACTTGTTATTCAGAATATTTTAAGAACTTTTCATGAGGTTTTTTATTTTCACACTTTTAAAAAAAAATGACTAAGGCAGAGAATGGCCTCTTAATGGCATGTCCCCTTTACTCTCCCTCTAAAAGAAAAACAGGGCATTCATATGACAAAATGCCATTTACCTGCATATGATTACAAAATTGCTTATAACAATTTGTTATTTGTTACAGATGCTAACTACTGACTATTAGCCAAAAAATAATAGCAGTAAAAGTATGTCATCACTTATGATAATGTCATAACAAGGCATTGACATGCAAAATGTCACCACCTGCCATTTGTTACAGATACCATTTGTTACATCCTATATGAAATTACATTATTTGACAAGCATTAATATTATTGACCTTCACTTTTATTCCCAATCAAGACCAACATATTCCCAAGAGGCCACTTAGTCCATGTTATTCCCTACCCCCAGTACCTGCATGCTATTTCCGTATCAGTTCTGTCTAAAAGGAAAACCTAGTACCTGATAATCTTGAATTACTGAAAACAATACAGACAGTCAGGAAGGCCTATAGTGACAAGGCAATTACAATAGTATTAATAATGATGATATTACTCAATTCAGACCCGGCCAATGATTTAAGCATGATTCTTATCTGATAAATGATGTCACAATAAACAGAACAATTGAAATGTATGCTTTTAATGACATATTTCTGCCTCCTGACTTATAGTAAAGTAACAAGTCGTTCACATTAAATGATTTACTGTACTTCGATATAATTTGGCACTAATTATATTGGCGGACAGGAGCAAGGCTGGGATGAATACATCCTGGTCCTAGACCTTGCCGATCGCTCCCTAGACACACTATATATTCCTGCTCGATATGTACCTAGAACTCAGAAGAATAGTAATACACAGGTACATTGCGCTATAACGCTTGGAATCTAAGTCTGAGTGAATTGTTGATATCACGAATCATAATTCATAAATCTGAGTGTGATTGATTAAATGAAAGGAAGCAACAACCTTTCACTAATAACTCAAACATTTATCTTATAGCACAGGGATCATAATACAACAATAACAATGAAGATTGATTGGTCATTGATGTTATTCAATTCTATTTTTCTATTCCAGTAGACTTTAAGGCTCATATCTTAAAGATATATCAACAATCGAGAATTCATATGCATTTATATTGTGTACTTGCTGATGTTACTGTATAAATAAACCAATTTTTCAATCTCCTCTCTTCATCGATTTTGATTGATTTGGGTAAGACTATAACACCCTTGGTATACGCAGCTAACGAAAATTGACCGGTACGGGTCAAAAGCTGGACCGGTTGATTTTATAAAAAATGCCAAACTTTGTGACAAAGAATTTCATCCTTCTTGCAGCGAGAAGACGGACCGGTTCGGGGCAATCTGCTTGTAGCGAGAAGACGGACCGGTTCGGGGCAATAGCTGATGAAATTCTTTGTCACAAAGTTTGGCATTTTTTATAAAATTAAACGCGCGTCATTGAAACTCACAAGATGTAAATAGCATGTCATTTACATCATACCTTGATGGGGAAAAATATATCTTATATGTTAGAAGTACTAAATAAAAGTTATCGTGAAAATGAGACAGTCGTTCTCGAGAGAAAAGAGCATAAATGCGCATTTAGAGAGTTTTTGTCCGTTTAAAAATCTGTAAAAAATTGGGGTACTTAAAAGCATCGGGAGGCATCATATATTTCAAATTAGACACGAGGAAGTCAATATTGAGCAAGTTATGGCTATTTTAAATTCAAATAAAACTGTTTACCCGTACCGGTCCAGCTTTTGACCCGTACCGGTCAATTTTCGTTAGCTGCGTATACCAAGGGTGTATAATATAAACCAACGTAACTTAAAGTTTACATGGGACCTTTAAATACCCCTAGTTACCTTCCTTAAAACAGTTGTTCAACAAACGTAATTTACAGAATTTATTACTTAACTTTTTGAGAGCATGGGGACAAGTAATGGTAAAATTGTAAATCAACTTTTTCTTAAGGTTAATGTATCTGTCCTATTACTGTCACTTTAAATCCTAATTCCTCAGCAAATCAGACTTGAAGTTGTTCATCAACAGGAAAGAAATGTCTCCTCTCATACAGATGCCATTTGTAAAAGTGACATTAATTCTTAGGATAATGTAACCTTGTAACTGAATAGTACCTCCTGGGGTAATAAATTTATTTTGGTTAACAAAATATCACTCCACTGTTGGGACAACAGTACAGAGTGTCTAAAAAAAGTTCAATATCTTTCATAATTTTGACTTTTCCCTAAAATGTACTTTGGATACCAAAAGACAAATCTTTCCCCAATAATTTGACACCATCAGATTCAAAATCTGTCCTTGATTGGCTCCACATGACAGCTTTTAGTGTCCCATAGTAAAATCTGACTTGCGCCAACTTCTATGTGATTGGATGGACCAAATGACAAAAGAGGAACAGTTTCTTGAACATTTAACTTTCTTCTGAGCAGAAGCTTGACCTTTAACTGAGTCATTCTGTAATTTTCCTATGTGTCTTACATATGGTCATTGGGTCTATCCAAATAAACGTGTGGTCCCCTC